TATATATAATTATATATACATATTTCCATATATGCATAATACATACCGGTAATACATCCTCTACTTCCTACATTTATCATGTCAATCGTGTGCTACGATCTCTCTTCCCCCCTCCCCCGCGCACCCCTTCCCCCGTGTATCACGCTACATTCACCTGTCTTCTTCTCTTTCTAGATCAGCTACCAGCACTTCTGCCCGCACACGCGCGAGCCCGGCAAGCCATGCACATCCTGCACCGCCTGCTCTCTGTGGACCAACCCGGACGAAGATGAGGATCGGGCGATCCGAGAACTCAAGGCCGAGGCACAGGAGACAAGGGCCGCGCAAGGTGAGAGTCGCTGGCAGAGGAGGAGGATGAGGAGGAGACGGAGGAAGGAGAAGGAAAGGGAGGGACCGTGCGGGATGGGAAGGGGAGAGGCCGTGAGGGAGGGGAAGGGGAGAGGTCGAAAGGGAGGGAAAGGGGAGAGACCGTGAGGGAGGGGAAGGAGAGAGACCGTGAGGGAGGGGAAGGGGTAAGGTCGTGAAGGAGGGAAAGGGGAGAGGCCGTGAGGGAGGGGAAGGGGTTAGGTCGTGAGGGAGGAGAAGGGGAGAGGCTGTAAGGAAGGGAAAGGGAAGAGGCCGTGAGGGAGGGGAAGGGGAGAGGTCGTGAGGAAAGGGAAGGGGAGAGACCGTGAAGGAGGGAAAGAGGAGAGGCCGTGAGGGAGGGGAAGAGGAGAGGTCGTGAGAGAGGGAAAGGGGAGAGGCCGCGAGGGAGGGGAAGGGGTTAGGTCGTGAGGGAAGAAAAGGGAAGAGACTGTACGGGAGGGGAAGGAAAGAGGCCGTGAGGGAGGGGAAGGGGAGAGGTCGTGAGGGAAGGGAAGGAGAGAGGCCGTGAGGGAGGGGAAGGGGAGAGGCCATAAGGCAGGGGAAGGGGAGAGGCCGTGACGGAGGAGAAGGGGAGAGGCTGTAAGGGAGAGCAAGGGAAGAGGCCGTGAGGGAAGAGAAGGGGAGAGGTCGTGAGGGAAGGGAAGGGGAGAGGTCGTGAGGGAGGGAAAGGGGAGAGGTCGTGAGGGAGGAGAAAGGGAGAGGCCGCGAGGGAGGGAAAGGGGAGAGGCCGCGAGGGAGGGGAAAGGGAGAGGCCGTAAGGGAGGGGAAGGGGAGAGGTCGTAAGGGAGGGGAAGGGAAGAGGTCGTGAGGGAGGGGAAGGGGAGAGGCGGTAAGGGAGGGGAAGGGGAGAGGCCGTGAGGGAGGGGAAGGGGAGAGGCCGTAAGGGAGGGGAAGGGGAGAGATCGTGAGGGAGGGGAAGAAGCCTGAGGGTCGTGAAGGAGGGGAAGGGCTACGAGCCAGTTTGATATTACCATATCAAATTTTGCAGTCTGTACGGGGTATTAACGTCAGAAAAATGTTGGAATTTACACACACCTACCCACCCACATACACACACGTCTTATCCAATAGGTTTTGTACAAGACAAGGAGTTTGGACCACCCCCTGAAGTGACTACACACAAAAAACAAAAGACTGCCTGAAGCGATCGCGACCCTCGTAGAGTTATTCCGTGCAATAATTTGGTTTGAAATTCGTTAAAACAAGTGCCTGTTTTCATAATCCGTTTAAAACAATTATCTTGTGTTCGTTCATATTAATCATTTCTAACTGTGATTCGTGTGTTCTGTGTTCCGTGTTATATATAACAAAGTAATTTATGTTAGATTTTTGTAAAGGTGTTAAACTATAATATTTATTTTGTATTTCGCTTTGAATTTATATAATAATACAACCTTATATAATATGTATTATTATAATAAATAGAGAATTTACTCTTGATTTGTCTACTTATTGGCTATTTGGTATTCAGTTGCACTAAAGCATATGTTAGTATGAGAGACATGATGGGAAAACGAATTGTAAATTGGCTTAACCGTATTATATATACTAGCAGAAAGTATACCCGTAGAACCAGCAAATGTTGTCTTTAAATATAAACTCCATGTAAGTGACACAGATAAAA